AAGATGGTGTTGCAGCGAACGAAAAAGATTGTAATCAGATGGTGCCATATCTCGAGAATATGGTTGGTCGGGGAGAACTTCCCAACCCAACTACATAATCTTGTGTTGCGTCAAACGTGCCACATGTGGACGTGCTTTGTCGTGGAGAAGAAGAACACCTTTCCGATTGACGAGTGAAGGGCGTTTCTGATGAAGGACTTGATTTAAACGTTCCAGTTGCTGACTATAGATCTCTGCATCGACAGTTCGCTGTGGATTGAGAAGTTCGAAATGAACTACTCCTTTGGTGTCCCACCGAATACAAAGCATCACTTTGTGCTGATGGAGTCCAGGTTTTGGGGTCGGAAGAGGTTTTGTCTATGACTGAGCCATCGTTTTTGACGTTAAATATTCGCATAGAGAATCCATTTTTCATCACAGGTGACAATTCTGTCCAAAAATGGTTCACGCGCCAGAAACGACGAAGTAACGTTCACACGTTGGAAACGATGATCATCGGAGAGTTCGTGAGGCACCCAAACACCTTCTTTATGGAGTTTTCCCATATTCATTTGATGTTTACGTATTGTTTCATGAGAGATATATACAATTTCAGGGTCATTTCACGAGTATGTTGCCTTGGGTTAGACTTAACAAGTATCTTCAGAACATCAATATCAATTCCAATATCTCGGCTCCTGCCATCACGGTTTTTAAGGCTAAAGTCACCTGAATGAAATTTGCTGAACCATCGTTGACACTTACGAACGTTGAAAACATTTCCATAAAATCCTTTTATATACTTTGTGACCACAGAGGCGTTGTTTCCCTTCTCGTATTCAAACAGCATTACATACCGAATGTGTGTCTCGTCGTATGCCATCATTATAAGGGATTAGAATATACTAAACTTTACACATTATATAGGCTACACTAATGTGATGTTTAGGCGGTTCGTTTAACTATTATATTATACGTTGTTGTTGGTTTTTTTTTGGGGGGGGGTAGTAATGAAAGTGTTCCAAAACGCGACATTAATTTTTTGACGACCTAATATATATATATATATGAAGCTGCTAATAGATGGCGGTAGCTTTGAATATAAGTAAGATAATACTGTAAATAGTATAGCATCTTAAAGTTATTAGATCTATTGAATCAGTAGATAACATTAGATGTGATCTTCAATCGTTGACAATAATTATGTATTTGTATGACGTAACTGATATAGAATCTAATAATAATGAAAATTACCTTTTTCCGAAGATTGAGTTACACTAAATTGCCAGTAGAGAGCAGCAGTTGTGACTATAAAATATTCAAATTGAGACCGGGACGTTTCTGTTTATATATTTGATGTGAGGAATAGGTTTTTAAAATATAGAAATACTTGCATATTCGAATATTGGAAATAACGATCAAAAAGTCTTACATGTTCATGTGGCATACGTTTAGAAGTAATTTTAACCCATTTGTAACAACAACAACAGCAACACGTTGCATAACTGTAACAGTTCTTAAGAAATATTGAATAGATTTACTCTATGAAAAAATTTTACTTATCTTTATATGGCAGTGATAGTCTGGATAGAAATAAAACGTTTGGACAACAACAGTAAGTTAAAGACTGTGTTATATGTGAATGCTAAAAAAATGTTCAGTCACACTCTCTGTATAATCCGTTAACATATAACACATCAATTCTTACATTGATTGTACCGTTATTTTTACGTCAACTCAATGAATCCATTGATTGTACCGTTATTTTTACATCAACTCAATGAATCCATTGACTGTACCGTTATTTTTACATCAACTCAATGAATCCATTGACTGTACCGTTATTTTTCCATCAACTCAAT